ACCCCCCCCCCCAAGAAAAAACAACAACCCCCCCCCAAAAAAAACCTGCCCAAGAGAGAAGAAAATGAGTAAATGCATTTAAAAGAATTTGGTTTTAAATTAATCAAAAAAAGGTGGGACCTTGAGGATTCCAAATGACACATCTGCACGTCTGCCTCTCGTCCTGTTCTCACAGACCTCTCTTCCGCGCCAACCCGCACCCGCTGGCCTTGCACGAGGGCATGTTCGTACCCACCATCAAGCAACAGGGCACGGACGAGCAGAGGAAGAAATGGCTGCCCCTGGCAGAGTCCTTCTCCGTGGTGGGAACCTACGCGCAGACGGAAATGGGGCATGGTAATGGCGGACAGGGATTCTGGGAACGCCCCCCACCCTCCCTCCCCCTTCCTTCTCCCCTCGGCGCTTTTCTTTATATCCCGCTTTTAAACAATATTATAACCTGCTTGGCCGAAAAAATAATATAATATAGATCTATATATATATACCCTCGCCATACATCATTATTGACAGTGATCTTTACTTTTTGTTCATACTTTGCTTCAAAAACATGTCCTGTTTTATTACAATCAATATTATACCGCCCACACCTCTCAAGGAAACATGTTTTAGAGTGCATTATGTTTTTGTTTTCTTTTTCCATTAAAAAAATCATTTAACTACTGGAAAGTGAATGGAAGTCAATTTAATGAATAAACTACATTTTTAAAAGACAGAAAAACAATAGCAAGCCAAACAACCACTTTTTTAACATAAACATTTTGGTTAGGTTGTATGTCAGTATAGATTCACTGGCCTCGCTCATGATTGCTTAAGTTGAAGAAAATGTCATATGATTGCAAGTCATTGTCTTACTTTTAGCCTGATTTCTTGAACCCCCCCCCCCTTTTTTTTTTTTTGTTTTGCTGCGTTTCCACCTTTTGCAACACATCTGATCTCGGAAAACTTCAATTTGCATCATGTGTACATTCTAGAAGTTTATAGAAATAATTATTAGCATTGCATCTTCTTAATATCACGATAACACACTAAATAACTTGCTGAGGCTTGCTGAGAATTAGTGCATTTTAGCTTTTTGTATGACTCTCTTTCTCTCCCTCTCTCTCCCCCCTCTCTCTCTCTCTCTTTCTCTCTCTCTCTCTCTCTCT